ATTTTACCTAATGCAGAGTTTATTTGGCGAACTGTCTTTAACCGCTGCAGTTATAAGATTGAACTCACATCCTTAAATCGGTTGAATTTTTCGATTTCTCATAATTTACTACGAGTGAAGATTCCTCAGGAAACGATATTGGACGTAAAAAAGTACATCTCGAATAAACAAAAAACAATACGGCATTTTAAAATGTGAGATCAATGTTTGTTACGTTTATTACCGATCTACTGATAAAAATTATTTGATAGAAGATTATAGCATCACAAGTCCTAGAACCCCTTGCCAAACTACATTATGTAACATATGGAATAAGAACAAATAAATATTATTAAGACAAAAGCTCGTCTTTATTTCGACTAAACTAGATAATCCTATATAGACGTGGAAAGAGTTATATAGCTAAAAAAAATTGCCTCAGTCTTATTGTTATCCTTACAACACGTCCATCTTAGATTATTTAAAATTGAACATAATGATTATCATTTACAGGCTTTTGATCTATTTCGCTACAACAAGAACGTCACGTTACTTGACGCTGCTAAATCAAATTGTTTTGGCCAATTCGTATCACGCATCAGTGGGTAACTGTTACCGCAGCATGGTCAACCCAGAAAAATGTTACGTTAGATATACGTATAATAGAGCAGAGGCCATCAGTAGACTCCGCTCGTGTGACTGATCGGCCGAGAAGATTAAGTAGGCAGAATTCTGTTCGAATGTAGCCGTAGCGGCCCATTTGTTGGTCTGCACTTTTCTGCCGGCCTAAAAGACTGAACTCGCCGGTCACAGCCAGGGCTATTGTTTACGAGTCAACTGCTCAAATGGCGAATAACAGCAAGAACGATCAAAATAATAATAATATCTCATATAATAATAAGCGTTACTCCATTAACTTTCTTTTTCTCGTGCATTTCCCTCTTTCTTTCACTCACCTGCGCGTTCCGCGACGGCTAGAGCCGTCAGTGAGCCGTCCACTCAACTCAATTCGACTGTCTCGGTGCTCGCGTAAGTTTGTGAGCGGCTTGACTTCGGGTAGGTGGCGGCAAGTAGAAAAAAGATTTTTCTCACTTCTCCCTTATGGCATGATCATATCCAACGGAGTTGATTAGCAAAGATGGGCCAGCCGGTTCATATTTGTATATACATATATATGTGTATTTATTTATTTATACGTATATATATATATATATATATATATATATATATATATATATATATATACACGTAACCATCAGAACAGCGTAATGCAAGAGAAGTACACTAATGTGGTAGACTGACGCAAAAAATTCTATAAAGTAGTAGTTATTGCCTAATTGCCCGTACAGGCACGTGGACTTTTTGCTTATTTCACTGCATACGACGTTAGCTTGCACGACAACTATGAGAAGACCCGTTCAAAGCTGAGCCGCAAGTCCCGTTGCGATCATCATCCCATGCAGAGAATGCGTGGAGCAGTATTCGAACGACACATTACCATCTGTTTTCAGCCACTATCATCACCGATTACAGTTAAATAAATCCGGTAGACAACACGACGATTCAGTAATCACACTGCACTACATTCCCATTATGGCCACTGTGATCAGAGCAGACTAGACGTTATAGTCCTTCGGTAGAAGTCAGCCAAACCCCTTTTAGGTACGACACTGTTGTTTTGTTGCGGACCCACGGAGGTAACCGCATCCGCCGTAGCACAGCGAACGACACTAGCAGCAGTCGCGGCAGCGGCGGCGGCGGCGGCAGCAGCAGCGGCGAACACTGGTGTAGTCCGACGAAAGATACGACGCGAGTCTCGTCTGCTACACGAACCAACTGCCGCAAAGCATACGAACGATCGCCTGTTGCCGTTAACTAAGCGCAAGGATAAGTGGGAAGCTCTGCTAATACTCTCTGTCAGGCAGTCAGCTGATTAGCTGACTGAAATGAGAGCTGGTGTCGTCGCCTCTTCATCCGTAGCAACGACGTTAGCGCTCCCAACGGCTAGAGGAAGCAGTAAGTCAGATGCTGACGATGTTGACCGTGCGTCCCTATTCCGAGTACGAGGCAACGAAAAGATAAAGCAGATATTACATATCACAGCTAAAAGTAAATACGCTGAATGATAATAGAACTGCTACAGCTACTGTTCTGTGACAGCCATTGTCATCAGCATCGATAGCACGATTAGCAGACGAACACTGGCTAATTCATATAACCTGCCAGGTTTGTTTGTTTGTTTGTTTGCTTGCTTGCTTGCCTAGTAACCTCTGCAAAGCGTTCTCTCGAGCAAAAGCGCATCGCTACTGCTAGAACAGCAGCAGCGGCAGCGGTATCATCATCGCATAAAATCAGCTTACACTATTATAACGATAATGTATAAAACTCTCCAATAGACCACAAAGTGAACTTTTTTTACCATTCGATAAAGCTGAACAAGAAAAGAGCACGTCGGTGTACATTTTGTCGTCTAGAGCGTGTCTGTATATCTGTTCCTTCTGCTATGGAAATAGGTATTAAGTAAGGATTATTAGAGTAAAATGTATATCGCTATGAATATCGTAAGATGGGGGGCCTTTTTTTATCGACAAGCAGGGAACAGAAGAAGGGTTTTGCTCTACACGCAGGAAACAACACGGATTTGAATATGTAATATAGATCATATGTAAATTTCACCAATCTAAAACTCACTTGCGATTGATACTTTCACCACACTGACACACTTCACTGGCACCACGACAGCGAATGGATGAATTCGCTATTGGTTTGCTTTCGCGCGGGCGGGCCTTCACACTCCTATATTCTCTTTCTCTCTAGCTCTCGCTCCCCCTCTCGCCCTCGCTCCCTCTCTCTCCACTAGTTGTCTTGAGTGGCGTACTGCTAATGCGTACACCAGCAGCAAGAGTGGGTTCGGGGGGGGGGGGGGTGGTAGCGTAATTTGCCCGAATAATAACCACTTGGCCCAACGGACTCTCGGTAAGGTTTAGCGTGCACTCAGTTACACAGTATTGGTGACAATAATCAATTGGGTCAATGGGCACCAAATAGGCATACTGCACATGCTGAGACAGAGAGCGCCAGGTAACAGCTTGAAGGTTCCCGTTCAG